TGCACTCCCTTTCTTTTGCAGCTGAGGCTGTGTTACTTTTTTTCCGCAAAATTTGCATGTTATCGGCATATGCTGCCATCAGAATTTCGGCCTCAAGCGCTGTAAAATACATTGACCGCGCCTTCTTTCCCTCCGTCTCCATGGTGACTCGCTTAATCTGTGCTCCACTAATCAGGGCTTTATGTATCCTCGTGCGCGCGCTTAACTTGGGGTTAAAGCAACTCCGCGTTGATTGAACTAATTGTTATCAGCCTTTCTGAAACCGAATATTCCGAGTTGGACAGTTCGGGGTTACTCAACCCTGAGTATCGTTTTTCACTCTGAGTTTTCTAAACCGGCTTCCTGAAATAGGGCCCAGGTGTTGTCACCAGTAACACAGTAAAATGGACCGTGACAGTCATTTTATGAAGAGTTTCAATTTATGGTTCATGGCGCTTGCACACAAACTAGACAAAGCTAAACGTTCACGACAACCACGAGCTTAGACTGAAGTACGACGTCTCTCGTGGTGGTCCTTTGACGGAGCGAGCAGTGTAAACACGTCTGCACAGACACGCCGTACACTGCTGCACAGACAACTGGATGATGACATGGTGAAATAAATCCTGCATGTAAGCTTTATGAACTCTTTCAGTGAAACACTGAGTGACGCGTTTACTGGCGCTCATAAATGTAAGTGATGATCCAGTGATGAAGGACCAGAGCTGTGCTCGAACCAGGACTCACCTGCTCCGGAGAGAGAGACAGACACTTGGGTTTGCAGTTTGTTTGTTAATGTGACTGACATGTATTTTACTTTATTTCCGGTTGTGTTATATGGTGCTCGCCTGTATTTATTATTGTGGCAGTGACAAACTGATGAGGCTCCGCGATTAAACGTCACTGAGAGCGGAAGCCCGGCTGTCACATGCTTGTCGGTCCGCCTCCCCCGTCCTCAGTCGGAGTCTGGACGCCGAGCAGAGAACATGTCTGGGTGCGACCGAGTGATCTTTGAGGCCACTAGGCTGCTGTGCGCCGCCGGAGGAGCTCTGCGGCTCCCGCAGCTATACGAGGAGCTGCGGCGACTCTGCCGTGTCTCCGAGGAGCTCCTCTGCAAGCTGGTCTATGGGCATCCCCGCTTCCTGATGGTCCGCGGGCCGGAGACGGATGGCTGGCTACGCCCCGAGGACTGCACGGTGCTGGCGCAGACGTCACTGCGCGTGTGCGTGAGCCACCGGCTCGGGGAGCCGTGCGCAGACTGTGACCAACTGCACCTTTGCAGATTCTACATCTACGGAACCTGCAAGTTCGGCAAGGGCAGGTGTGTGTGTGTGTGTGTGCGTGCGTGCGTGTGTGTCTCTCTCTCTCTTTCACACACACACACACAGAGGCTGAACGAAAGTTAAGGAAATGAAACAGAAACAAAGTTTCCGCCGCAACAGAGACATCCTTATCTTCATCATCTTTATCATCCACACATCATCCTTATTACCATCTTCATCATTATTCTTATTGTTGTTGTTGTTGTTGTTGTTATTGTCGGTGGTGGGTGTTGTCTCTAAAGCTGACAGGAAACAAGCTGACACCTGCTGCCAGACGTCACTGTGACGTCAGCAACCAGCTGATTGTCAGATGAGTTTTGTTTTCCTGAGAAATTAGACCACAGGAACAGGGGCGGATCTAGAGAAATTTTCTTAGGGTGGCAAAGAAATCAAATGGGGTGGCAAAATCAAAGCCTTTTTTTTTTTTTTTTTTTTTTTTTTTCCAAACACATGCAGGTGGTTACATATGGTTAAAATAATTCAAATGCAGTGAGTATACACGTTTTTCATATAAATATAGTCTATAACTTAATTATTGTCTGTAGCCCACATAATTACACACTTTAGTTA